GCCACCAAATTCCTGCTCTTCTCCTTGAAGGGCCTTCTGAGGACCGATGGAAATAACAGCCTCATGTTTCCAGGAAGAAGCGTCAGCCCGTTTGCTCCTGGGACAAAAGGGGAAGCCAGCGAGGAAGCAGGTGACAAATGGAAACACCGATTTCCTGCTCTGTTTCACATTCCGGAAGCACAGACTTGCTGACACCTTGCAGAAGCTGTGGCGACATGGTAGCTAGGGCCTCTCCAGGGCTGTCTCACCTCAGGCCAGGGCCTTCCTGCATTTTCCGGAGGGGTTGGCCAGGGACTGATGGGGTTGGGCTGGGAGTGAGGGTGTCTGTGACATGGCCGTGACCTGCAGTGGCGTCTCCTGCCAGGGTTCTTTCCTTGTATCTTGGGACACGGGGAAAGAATACAGCCAGTGGTGATTTGGGGGAGACTTATTTTCCGTGAGACCCTGAGCATCCTTTGAGTGGGAAGAGACAGAGTCTCCAGCAACTGGGCACATGTGATGGCCATAGCAGCCCCGGTGCCTGTCCTCACAGAGCTCTAGGACCAGAACAGATGGCCGACTTGTCCCTGGGCGCACGTGCCACTGGCCCCCTTGGTCTTTGATCTCTGCCAGAGTGTCTGCTTCAGGTCTTCAGTCTCTCCTGGAGGGCTGGGCCCGGGACTGCTAGAGGTGGCCTGGGACACGGCCACTGCACTGACCAAGAGCCACAGCTGTGCGAGCCTCAGATACCGCCCCTTCCGTGGACCCACAGACTCACCATCACTTGCTGTGGCTCCCAAATGCCTGCTTCCTGCGGACCTCTCTCCCCTAAGACACTGCCAGACACCTCCAGTCTGTGGCCGCCCACACATTCCCAGCCACGTCCCTCCTGGCTGCTTGTTTTATCGCAGCCTCCACTCACCTACACTTACCTCGATAACACTGACTCCCCCAGACCCTCGCCTGCCTCCCTTCCCCCGCACCAGAGACCCTCACCATCCCCCCACCGGCGCCCCTCAGAGCCCTCCCCCACACGACTCCCACTCACCTGAGGTCCTGCAGACACCCCACCTTACATTCCGTCCCTCACCGCCCACCCCCCATGTGGCTCTGGGGAACACTCACCACCCCCATTGCAGTGTCTCAAGGTCCTACACTCATGGCCCTCCCCAACCCCCTCCATGGCCCCCAGAAACTCACCTGCGTCCTGCAGACCCAGGAAACACGACACCCACACCATCACCCTGAGGGGACCCGCCAGACACTCCCCACATATCCGCTTCCCCCACTGCACCCCTCAAACTCTCTCCACCTCCTTGCGTGGAGCCTCCGTTCTCAACACAAACGAGCTGTCTGCAGGCACCTAACGGTCCGCTCTCCCTCCTGCCAGCCCCACACAAAGTACGGTCCCTGGTTTATAGCCCTGACACCCCAATATTCCATCAGCACCCAGGAGCCCAGCGGCGTGCGACCCCCGTGACTCCGCCACTAACGGGAGCAGCAAGTGATTCACTGTTTGGGGACCCTGGACAACCCCATCCCCACCCCTACCCAGGGGTCTTGGCGGGCTTATTTTATTATTTTTATTAATTATTATTATTACTTATGCCTACAGGGCCTGGACTTCCTAGGTGGTCTCCCATCCAAGTACTAACCAGGCCCGACCTTGCTTATTTTCTGAGACCAGACCTCGGGCTTGTTCAGGGTGGCATGGCCGTAGACCATGGACCGTGGCTCCACTGGGGCGCGAACCCAGGACCTTCTGCGTGTAAAGCAGACGGGCTGACCGCGCTACACTATGGAACCACGTCCTTGGCAGGCTTTTTGAAAGCCTAACGTTTCCAGCATTCCCATTCACTTTCGGTTCTGCAAAATTTGGCAGCCAGCGTTTCCAGCGTTTCTTGACTTTGCATTCTGTAAATGCCTTACTCTAATTAGTCAGCGATACAGCTCCAGATCCTCCCAAGGACCTGACTTCGCCTGGAAGGAGATCAGCTCAGCCCAGGATCCGAGAGGACCCCAAATATGTGCTTCAAGGGCCTCAGATTCCCTTTGCCTGAGGAGGTGGAGGGGCTAACGTCCGTCTGGTCTTGAGAGTGCAGGGTCTCTGCCCACCCCACCCCACCCCACCCCAAACCCAGGGGTACAATCCGAATCTGCCCTGTGTCTGCACAGCTGTGGCTGCTCGGCTCAGGAGAGACCCCATCACACAACGGGGTGCAGTGACCGTGCCGAAGACACCCATGTGGGCTCCGTTGTTTGGGGCTCGGGAACCCCTTCCCTATGAGCTGAGTTATGTAACTTGGGGGAGAGTCGGGGGACTGAAGTCTGTGTCTCTCTTCAGACGACGCGCTTCCGCCTTCTCTTCCATCCTTTGGTAACGGGGGTGGGAGGGTCCCAGCCCCCTAGGGAGGTCCCCAGTGGGGTCTGAGGCTTTCTCTGCAGCAAAGTGGGCCGGACTGCGGTAGCAGAAATGAAGGTGCATCTGTGTGCAGTTTCTCTCAGTGAGGAGTGAGCTCCTTGAGCCTCCTGTCTCTATAGCCACAGGCTGGACCAGTCGCTTCCCAATCTCTGGGAGGCTGCAAAAGTAATGGACCAGTTCATAACTATTGTTTTTTAAATCTGAAAGAAAACAAAATTAGGAAATAGTGTAGTGTTCACACAGAATCTCATCGATGATTGTGTAATGCAACTTTCTTTTGGACTGTGTGTAATCCACATAACGACGTAATATCAATTTTTCCTAGTGAGTCGAAGCCAGTTAGCAGAGGAATGTAGGAAAAATTCCAGCCACCGCCTCGCTGCCTCCTTTCCTGAGAGCCAGTGACTTCAGCTACCTATCATGCCATCCAGTAAGGAATCCAGCTGTCACGTCCTTGGTTCCAGGTGTTTCCTGGGGAGGCCGAAGGCAGGCTTGGCACCCAGCCTGGCCGTCTCTGCCAGGAACGAGGTAAGATCGAGCCAGAGCCGGGGTGAGAGAGAGGAGCGTGGTCCCTGGGGGGCAGGGCTGAGGCTGGAGTTTCTGAGGCAGGAGAAACCTCATCTCTCAGGATAGCTGAGTCAGGTTCTGGGGCAGGAAAGTGGAAGGAGATCAGGACAGGGCAGGGGTGTCTGGGAGGCTGCGACAGCTGAAGGGCAGTGGCTGGTCCTGAGATGGCTGGACACTGAGAGCCTCTAACTCAACAGCTTGAGGCTTTGGGGTCGGACGACCCTGGTTTGGAATCCAACCCCTGTCCCTTCACGAGGTGTTAAAAAACGTGTCTGGTATTTTTGTCATCGACATCTTTGCTGCAAACATTTTTTTTTTTCCCCTATAACTAATTGGCCTTAAGGCAATTTTGCTATAAAAAAAGATAAAATCGCAAAAAAAAATAAAATAAAATAAAAGAAGGACATTTAAAAGGACATAACAAATATAAAAAGACTTTATTGTAAAATACGAAATACCTGAATACACTGAAAATGTGTGTAGATTCTCAGCAATACTGCCACCAGAAAGAAATGCTAACTCTTTCAAGACCAACAGAAGCATGTCTACTCATCCCTCTGTAGACCATTATGAGGGCTAGCTCGGATTTCTATACAGGAATGTATAAAGGGGAGTGAATGCACAGACTTCGTCAATGGAGAAATGAAGCCAAACTGCAAACTAGCTTAAGTACATTAAGTCCGCCATGGATAAATGAAACAGTAGAGACAGAGAAACCCTTTACACATAGCCCTATTCAGCTCCCTGGAATCAAGGAGCTATTTGACTCTGACATCCTTCAAGACCCATTCCCCACTTCAACCCCACAGCTGGGCTAGCCCTTAAGAAAGACCTCAGGTTCTTTCCCTTTGCCCCTACAGGAAGTTCAAACCTCGAAAAAAACGAGACTTCGCGGACTCCTGGCCAAGATAAAAACCACAGCTAACCACCTTGCTTCCCAAGAGACCCTGGCATGTGATCCCTCTGCCGGTTACAGACACCATCTGGACTGGACTCAGACACCCACCCAGTCCTCAGCCAGGGGTCTCCATTGGGCCCAGGCCCAGACCCTCCAGAAAGGGCCAGCAGGCCCTGGTGTCAGGCATCCCTGACTTACGGGGACAAACTCCAAGTAAGACGTCCCGACAGTTGCCAGCTGGTGCTGACGTATCTGTGCTTCTGGAATGTGAAAGGGAAGGAAACCAGCATTTCCCCTTGTCACTGGCTTTCCCACTGGCTTTCCCTCTGCCCCGGAGGCTAAACAGGCTGAATCCTCATCTGACAGTATTGGGGTGTTATTTCCACTTGGCCTCAGGAGAGCCCCTTCCTGGGGATAGGCAGGGACGTGGAGGAATGTCAGCTATGCCCCGAGAATGTCAGGTATGCAGGATGGGGACTCCCCGGTGCCACAGGCCCTTTCCTGGGCTTGCTGCCTGGGTGAGTACACTGATCCTTTGCTCCACCTGAATTCTTCCTGGTTTCAGTCCCGCTTCCTGTTACCTGCAACCGGGCACTAGGTGATCGCCACCTGGAGGAGATCCTTTCCCTGCTGAAAAGGCTCAGCGGCAGCAAAGAGAAACCACTCAATAAAATAGGAGTGGAAGGGGCTTTTAGTACGGGGGATGAGAAGCAGGGCTGGACATGCTTCATGCTGGGACTCCAGACATGTCTCAGCATAACACTGTCAAACTGGGAAGATTTAACATTTTTAATTAAAAAAAAAAATTGGACTCTATCCAGCAAAACCATAGAGAAGTATCCAAGTACATGGGTCATTCTGCCTTCCCTTGTGGTTGGAGCAACCACAGTGAGATGCCTGATTTGGTAGAGGATGCACCAGGTGGGGACCAGGGGTGACTGAGGGTCCCATCCTCGGGCACGTGTCTTGAAGGTGACCACATGGTGCACAAGTTCAGATAACCTTCATTATCACTATCGCTTGAACTCAGCCCACGTCTGTACAATGACAGATTCCCAACACCTTCCTTCTGGAGGGACATAAGGAAATACAGGTAGGAGTTGACAGTGATGCGGGAGAACACGGGCAGAGAAGACCTTGAACATTTCACCCAAACCTTCTCAAGCTTGTAGGTTAAGTATGGAGAGTGGAGTAGTGCTCCCTGACAAGAAAGAGGAACCAAAAAGTAACTGCATGTTTAGATCACAACCTAACAGCTGGAATCCACAGTTAACATTGGAGGAAAGAGGTCATCATGGGAACCTCCCAATCTTAGAGTGAATTAGAAGGGAATAGAGAGCATATTGAAGACTCAGAGAGAGTGTGACTATCTTGGACTAGTTAATCAGGACCTATTTATGTCCCAAATTGATTTACGTATCAATACCTTCTTGGCCATAACAGAAAAAGAGACTTCAGAATATTTTATTTTATTCTTACAATACAAAAGGCTACATAAATAATGTTGTGTGACATGTTTTATGAAGTAAAACTATTTTTCTATGTGCATGGAACAGATGATTTAATATTAAGATGGAAATAGCTCAGAATTGATTTACGGATTCGACAGGACCCCTATCAAAAGCCACCTATCCGAGCTAATCACCGCCTCTGACAGAGGTGGAAGCTGAAGCACAGGACCTTCACGCGCTTACCAAGTCACCACTGATCCCAGGTCCCCAAGCCCAAACCCCAGCCAGGCCGTTGTGCAGAAATTGGCCACCTGATCCTGATTTATAAGGAAATGTAGGAGACCCAGAATAACCAACAAACGCTTGAAAAAGAAGAGAAGAAGTCAGAGAACTTAAACATCCCAATTTCAAAATTCACTATCAAACGACCATAAATGAGGACAGTGTGGACTTGTATAATGATTAGCATATATATCGATTGAGTAGAATTGAGATTTGAGAAATACACCCTCGCATGAATGGTCAATTGACTTGTAACAGGGGTGTCAAGGCGATTCAATGGGAAAAGAATCGTATTTTCGACAAATGGTGCTGGTACAACTGGATATCCACATGCAGAAGAATAAAGTTGAACTTTTCCTCAAATCATACAAAAAGTTACCTCAAAATGGATCACAGAACTAAATGAAAGGCTAAAAATATAAAATTCTTAGCGAAAACTAGGAATAAAGCTTCATGACCCAGAGTTAGGCAATGGGTTGTTAAACTAAAATCAGAAGAGAAAAAAATAAAAATAGATGAACTAGATTTCGTCAAAATTCAAAACAAAGAACATCATCAAGAAAGTGAAAAGACAACTTGCACTATGGGAGAAGATATTTGCCAATCACGTGCCTGATAAAAAATTTCTACCCAGAATATAACAAGAACTTTTACATAGCAATGATAAAAAGTAAAATAAATAAGAAATAGTAAGGTTCAAATACATTTTTCTAAATAATAAGAGCATATCCAATCAGTAGGTGACTTTACACTTCTATGGTTAAATGCTATCCCCCAATTCTTCGCAAGAAGTTTTAAAAATGTTTTTGAAATGCCTTCACTGAAAATTCTACTGTGTAAAAGTATGCATATAAAGGTAAGCAAATTGGGGGCAAAATTCAATGTTTCCCAACTTAAAAGTACTTTGACATTTGGGAGGTCAAAGTATGTCCTGAGCACACACTTACAACTGTACATATAATCTGAATTAAAAATGTTCGAAATCGAAAACCTCAGTCTGATGATCTCTAAATGCTACTCAAAACCCACCTTATCCCAGGACACGGACCATGTCCGCCCTCTGCATCAACAAATCCTTGTCCCCGCCCCGTCCCTCCACGGCCTGGTCATCCTCCTTCATGTCACCTAATTTAGGACGTTTCCACTGTCATTATTCACCCCAAACCGCAGTGGGAACTCCCTCGCGAGCTCCTGGAATCTCCCAACTACAATTCGACAGGGAGGGAACCGCGGTCACAGGCGTCGGGCTGTGACACCAGAGACCCAACTTCCAAAAGAGGGACCCAGGTTCGGAGAGGACAGTCTGGGCGTCCAGGACACACCGCGCGGATCACACCGGGCCCGGAGGAAAAGACGCCGCAGAGGCCACGAGAGTCCAGGGCCGCCCAGCCAGGATGAAGGGTGGGCCGTGGGCGGGACGAGGGACGTTCAGTACCCTGGACAGAGGCGCTCAGTGCCGCAAAGTCTTCTCCAGGTCCTGCCACCTTTGGGCTTCCCTGAATTGGAAGCCTGAGCACCACCTGCCGTGTGCTCCCCGCGACTCGCAAATGCGCGCAGCAGGTGCGGATCCTCTCCCCGCCTCCCCCAACTCCCAGACCAGAATGAGGTCCTCCAGGAGAAGGCGAGAAGAGTTCCCACGTCACCAACCCGTCCCCGACCTCGCGCATGCGCCCAGTAGTCCGGGTCGAGTCCTCGCCCATCTAAGGCCAACCAGCTGCGGCGGTACTTTATCCTAAAGGGATCTGGAGTCCCTGGACCACCGGACCATTTTGCCTTCGTCCCCCACACACAGTACAGAGATGTAAGGACGACTTTATCTGGGACAAGCATCCTAAAGACATGCAGAGCCTCTACCAGCCTGGGGCCACCCCACACCCACACCTGGAATCCATCCCAGAGGGTTACCTTGGGCTTCCCGCCCGAACAGGGCCCCAGGCATCTAGGCGGAGACAGGAAGCCGCCCTTTACAGTATCATCAGTTCTGCTTCATTTGGTATGACACCAATCCGGAAAGGAAGACAGAACTTTGCGAATCAGCCAAACTGAATAAAATGTTCCACTTTGTTATTGTCTGGTTCAGAGACTCCCCTGATTGTCAGCAAGAGAATCTGTCTGAACACCTGTCAGGATGGGGGACACTTGCTGAGGTGACTCTGCACCCATGTCACCCGAATCCTCACATGACTCTGCTCTGACTGACCAGAGCTAATCCCCGCCTCTGACAGAGGTGGAAGCTGAAGCACAGGACCTTCACGCGTTTACCAAGTCACCACTGATCCCAGGTCCCCAAGCCCAAACCCCAGCCAGGCCCATGAGCCCTGGGCTGAGGACTGTCCTGTCTCTACGCAGCTGTCCTGAGGATGAAGTGGCTCTTAAAACTTTACAAACCGGAGCCCAACATTCTCATGCAATCTTGAATTTAGGATGACCCTAATACTTTATGATCAAGTAAATGTTTCCGAACAATAAAATGACATTAAACAGAACAATAGCATCAACTCTAATATTTGTAGCATTGTTTGGTTTGCTGGTTTCATAACAAATCATAAACTGCCTAAGTAATAAAATAACCTTTCAGAATTTAATCATTTTCAGTTCTTTAATTTCCACTTGGGCCCTGTGTCTTTTAGGAAAAGATCTTTTGAAGCATTTTCAGAAAATGAAAGAAGTCAGAGAAAACGAAGAACCCACAATGCCCTTTGTCCTCACCAATCAAACTTCAGAACAATGGACATCATGAGAGGTACATACTTTCTATACCATATCCTGTCTTCAGGCTACAATGTTATACAAGCAATATGCTGTGTTGCTATTGATGTAAGAACTTCAGCAGCTAAAAGGAAGAATATCTGAAATTTGCCCAAGTCTTGAATCCTGCGTAAAGTTCCATCTGGAGACTATGTTCCTATAAAGTATGTTTGGGATTTCACTGCCTGGGACCCTGAGAGTCAATGTTCTCCATCAATCATCTCTTGAGAAGGGCCATCTCTTCAGTGTGTCCCCAGGTAGTGCAATGACCCTGGGGAAGAGGTCCCCAGGCAGCTGCAGCATAGGAAGAATTACTGATCCAACTAATAAGCTCAAATTTAAAAATTGACCACTACTCGTAGTAATAACAGAGTGGACTAATACTTTTAAATTGTTGGAGAGAATTTTACTTTCCCCACCCCTTCCACGTTCATTCCATGGTGGTGATATGAGCATCAGCCAGGGTCTGGATAATAGAGATTTTAACCCTCAGGAATTTTAGCAACGAACTGTAATTTATATATGGGGTTTCAGTGGGGAGAGGGTGTAGCAGGGAAGACAGCTAGAGCTGAGAGGATAAAGGAGACAGGGCAGAAAGTTGGGTGGAGAGTAAAGCTCGGGGTGGGGGACAGAAAGAATCCAGGGTAGAGCACAGTAGGGTTGGTACTCAGAGCAGACGAGCTTGGGGTTGGCAGTGCCAGGTGGGTACCAGACTAGTCAGGGAGATCGCTTCGTAAATCCTACAAATGTCTAACCACTAGGCCGTACACCTGAAACTAATATAAAATAATGTTGAATGAAAATTGAAATTAAAATTTTTTTAAAGGGGAGAAAAAAATGAAGTGGAACAAGAGGTTCACATTTCCAAGTATAAAATGAATAAGTCATGGGTTCGTGGCGTACGGCGTAAGGAGTTTAGTCAATA